AATTGAGTCATTCATAATTGGCTATGCATTAACCTGTTCAACTTTTACTTTATAGGGAAATATTGTTTATTATCCTGGAAGTTTCAATCACCTCCTCTTCACTCCTTTGCTGAGAGGGAGTTCACCCTAGAGTTATGGATGTGACCAAACAATCTGGATTTAGAAAAGGCAGAGGAATCAGAGATCAAATGGCCAACATACGTTGGATGATAGAGAAAGCAAAGGAATTTCAGAAAAAACATCTGCTTCTGCTTCACTGACTATGCTAAAGCCTTTGGCTATGTGGATCACAACAAACTGTGGGAAATTATCAGAGATGGGAATACCAGATCACCTTACCTGCCTCCTGAGAAACTTGTAGGCAGGTCAAGAAACAACAGTTAGAACCAGACATGGAACAATGGGCTGGTTCAAAATTGGGAAAAGAGTACATCAAGGCTATATATTGTCACCCTGCTTATTTAACTTGTATGTAGAGCACATCATGTGAAAGACCTGGCTGGATGACTCACAAGCTGAAATCAATATTTTTAGGAGAAATATCCATTTGGTATTTTTTTGGGAGCTCCAAAATCACTGCAGATGGTGACTGCAGCCATGAAATTAAAGAAGCTTGCTCCGTGGAAGAAAAGTTACGACCAACCTAAACAGCATATTAAAAAGCAGAGACATTACTTTACCAATAAAGTTCCATCTAGTCAAAGCTATGGTTTTCCCAGTAGTCATGTATGAATGTGAGAGTTGGATTAAAAGAAAGCTGAGTGCTGAAGAATTGATGCTTTTGAACTGTGGTGTTGGAGAAGACACTTGAGAGTCACTTGGACTGCAATGAGATCCAACGAGTCCATCCTAAAGGAAATCAGTCCTGAATATTCACAGGAAGGACTGATGCTAAAGCTGAAACTCCAATACTTTGGCCACCTGATGTGAAGAACTGACTCATTTGAAAAGACACTGATGCTGGGAAAGATTGAAGGCAGGAGGAGAAGGGGATGACAAAGGATGAGACGGTTGGATGGCATCACTAACTCTATGGACATGAGTTTGAGTAAGCTCCAGGAGTTAGTGATGGACAGGGAAGCCTGGTGTGCTGCAGTCCATAGGGTTGCAAAGGGTTGGACACGACTGAGAGACTGAACTGAGGAGACATATCAACAACCTCAGATATGCAGATGATATCAGTGAAGAGGTATTAGAGAGCCTCTTGATGAGGGTGAGCAGAATGGCAACCCACTCCAGTATTCTTGCCTGGAGAATTCCATGGACAGAGGAGCCTGGCAGGCTACAGTCCATGGGATCACAAAGAGTTGGACACAATTGAGTGACTAACACTTTGATGAGGATGAAAGAGGAGAGTGAAAAAGTTGGCTTAAAATTCAACATTTAAAAACTAAGATCATGACATCTGGTTCCATCACTTCATGGCAAATAAATGAGGAAAAAGTGGAAACAGTGACAGATTTTATTTTCTTGGGCTCCAAAGTTACTGTGGATGGTGACTACAGTTTATGAAATTAAAAGACACTTACTCCTTGGAATAAAAGCTATGACAAACCTAGACAGCATTTAAAAAGCAGAGATATCACTTTGGTGACAAAGGTCTGTATAGTCAAAGTTATGGTTTTTCCAGTAGTCATGTATGGATGTGAGAGTTGGACTATAAAGAAGGCTGAGCACCAAAGAATTGGTGCTTTTGAATAGTGATGCTGGAGAAGACTGTTGAGAGTCTCTTGGACTGCAAGGAGATCAAACCAGTCAATCTTAAAGGACATCAACCCTGAATATTCATTGGAAGGACTGATGCTGAAGCTGAAGCTCCAATACTTTTGGCCACCTGATGAGAAGAGTCGAGTCATTTGAAAAGACCCTGATGCTGGGAAAGATTAAGGGCAGGAGGAGAAGGAGGCAACAGGGGATGAGCTTGTTGGATGGTATCACCAACTCAGTGGACATGAGTTTGAGTAAACTCCGGGAGTTGGTGAAGGACAGGAAAGCCTCGCTTGCTACAGTCCATGGGGTTGCAAAGAGTCAGACACGACTTAACAACTGAACAACAATAACAGCAAATGTGACACCCAACATTGCACAGAGGAGAGCTACAACACTTTATTAGTCACACATATTCACAGCTCAGGGTAGGAGAACATGACCGGCTTTGCAGGGCCCATGGGATTGCATACAGGAACAGAGTTAACAACCAGGGGTTGTGGGAGGCAAGCTTTGTAGTATCAAGAGGATGAGGTGTCCCCAGGTTTCTTTGGGAAGATATGATTATACTGGACAATAAACAAATCTGCATTTTACCCCAGAGGGGGATACTCTCTTTATCTTTCATAGATATTTGCTATATAAACATTCTTGCAAGAGCCTCTGCTTGCAAGACATGCAGAAATGTGAGAGACTCATGCACGACGATCTTCCAGTATAAAGACAATAGTATTGCAGAACAAGCATATTTTGATGATGGTAGTAGAAATTCTGTAAGATTATGACAGTTATAAGTTAAAATGAGAACTTACCTGATCAATCAGGGTCAATAATTTTGACAGTTCCTCTTATGATGGATGAAGTCAAATCATACAAATGGACCCTTTCAATTATATTAAAGGCTAGAGTAGATTTGTGGGGGAAGGCACATCCAAACTTCTGTATTCTATTTGACCACTAACATGTTTAACAACTAGAGGTCTGATATGGTAAGCCTAACTTTCTAGTTAGGTGAATAAAATTATGAGAAAAAAAGAATAAGAAAAACAAATTATATTGATAGTAACTTTAAAAAATTGTAAAATTTTACTTGTACCTTTTTATATTGTTTCCTTTCAGCTGAAGCTCCAATATTTTGGCCACTTGATGCGAAGAGCCGACTCATTGGAAAAGATCTTGAAGCTGGGAAAGATTGAAGGCAGGAAGAGAAGGGCGACAGAGGATGAGATGGTTAGATAGCATCACCGACTCAGTGGACATGAACTTGAGCAAATTCCAGCAGATAGCAGAGGACAGGGAAGCTAGGCATGCTGTAGTCCATGGGGTTGCAAAGAATCAGACACGACTAGTGACTGAACAACAACAATTTTTTCCTTATTACAATAAAACAAGTGTAATAAATAACTTTTACTATACAAAAGATAAACAGAGTCAGAGGTAGAATAGACTTCTCTGCAGAAATGTTGCCTTCTCAGTGGGGCAGGAAAACCCAACATAATAATCCTCTTTCCATTCCTAGCTCAAATACTACCTCTTTTGAGAAGTCTTTTCCATTTCCCCCTTCTAAAATTAACCTCCTCATCTCCTGTGAATGAAAAGGATTTTTATAACATTTATTATAGCATCTATCACATTCTCTTATACTATAATTTTTTAATATCCTCTTCCTGATACGGTTTCTGCCTCCAAGCAGCTTACAGTCTCGTATTTCCAAAATAGATATTTCTTTACTTTTTAAATTTCTTTTTCCTTTATGTCTATGTCTCTCATAGTTCTCTATAGAAAGCAGGTCAATTCTCGTTGAGTATAATTGGACAAAATAAATGGAAATAATACTGTGCTATATGTCTGTAGCACTTTTAAAACTTGTTAAAGCTCTGTTATATCAAGGATTTAATTTCATGCTTGCAGTATCCTTATAAACAGAGGAGGGCTTGCTTTGTTAATCTTATTTGACAAATGATAAACTTGAGGCACGAGGTAAGTGACTTGCTCTAAGTAATGAGTCTTGTTGGGAATGTAAATCAGTACAAGTTTTATGTAAAGTAATTTCAAAATCTATATTTCCTTCCTCTTTTACTTCCTTCCTTCTTCCTTTCCTCCTTACTTTTTTCATATTTATCATCTATCTTAAAAATATTCTTACTTTTGATTCAGTAAGTCCACTGATAGGAAATCTACTCTAAAGAAATAATTTGAAATAGATTATTTTTTGCATTAATTATAATAAATGAAATGTGAAAGCAGTTTAAAATGCCCAACAAGAGGAAAATATTTAAATGCATATGGTAAGCAATACAATAGAATGTTTTACTTTAAATAATTTGATGCATTTATTTTTTGCTTATTTTTCTCTTCATATGTATATGTGATTAAAAATAATAACTTAATGTTGTGCTGATATAGGATATATATCAATTAAATAGAATTGAGAGTCCAAAAATATGCCCTAGTATTTGTAATTAATTGACTTCGACAAAGAAGCAGTGACAATTCACTGGGTCCACTCAATGAATAGTCTTTTCAACAAATGGTGCTGAGACAACTGGCTATCCACACACAAAAGAATGAATTAGGATTGTTTACATTATCTCCCCCACAAAAATTAACTCATAATGGATCATAGACCTAAATGTAATAAAGATTAAGAATATAAAACTCTTACAAGAAGACATAGGAAGAAATCTTCATGACCTCAGATTAGTCAGTGTTTTTCTTAGATATCATATCAAGAGCCGGGAAAGAAAAAGACAACCCACAGACTGGAAGAAAACACTTGCAAAGCCGTAGGCAGTTGACCCTTGAATAAAGTGAGGGTTAGGGGCACCCATCCTCTATGCAGTCAAAATTCCATGTATAACATAGTTGGTTCTCTGTTTATGCAGTTCCTCAATATCTGTGATTCCACATCCATGGATTTGACCAACTGCAGTTGTGTAGAACTATAGTATTTACTATTGAAAAAAAATCTACATATAAGAGGATCCATGCAATTCAAATTCATGTTGTTCAATGGTCAACTGTATATGACCAGGAACTGGGATCCAGAACAGAGAATTCTTCAAACTCAATGATAAAAAAAAAAAAACAACAAAAACTTTTTTTTAAATGTGGAAAGATTTTGAATAAACATTTCCCCAGAAAAGATCTATGAATGGCTAACAAGGACATGAAAAGATGTTCAACATCATTAGGCATAATGCAAATCAAAACTATAAAGTGATGTCAATTCATAGTCAGTAGAATGGTTATTAGGTATAATAATAAAAAAGACAGCTTTCCGTCCCTGATGCCGCCGGGGTCGCACGCGCGAGGCTGCTCTGCCACCGCTGAGATGCGTTGCGTTGCCGCCTACTTGTTGGCCGCCCTCGGGGGCAATTCCTCCCCCAGCGCCAAGGACATCAAAAGGATCCTGGATAGCGTGGGCATCGAGGCAGACGACAACCGACTCAACAAGGTCATCAGTGAGCTCAACGGAAAGAACATTGAGGACGCCATTGCCCAGGGTATTGGCAAGCTGGTCAGTGTGCCCGCGGGCGGGGCTGTTGCCGCCTCTGCTGCCCCGGGAGCCGCAGCTCCTGCTGTGGGTTCTGCTCCAGCCGCAGCGGAGGAGGAGAAGGAAGAGTCGGAGGAGGAGTCAGATGACGACATGGGCTTTGGCTTGTTAGACTAGAGCCCCGCTCCCCTGAAAGTAAAAAAAAAAAAAAAAAAGATAGCAACAAGTATTGGTGAGGATGTGGAGAAGTTGGAACTCTCATACATTATTTTTTTAAAATTTTAATTGGTGGATAATTGCTTTACAATATTGTGTTGGTTTTTGCCATACAATAACATGAATCAGCCATAGGTATACATATATCCTCTCCCTCTGAAGCCTCCCTCCTATGTCCCACCCCATCCTACCCCTTTAGATTGTCACAGAGCACATGGTTTGAGCTTCTTGAGTCATGCAGCAAATTTCTACTGGCTATTTTACATATGGTAATTTATATGTTTCCAAGTTACTCTCTCAATATGTCCCACCCTCTCTTTCCCTCACTGTGTTCACAAGTCTGTTCTCTATGTCTGCCTCTCCATTGCTGCCCAGTAATTAGGTTCATCAGTACCATCTTTCTATTTTCCATATATATGTGTTAGTATATGATATTTGTTTTTCCCTTTCTGACTTACTTTACACAGTACAATAGGCTCTAATTTCATCCACCTCACTAGGACTGACTCAAATGTGTTCTTTTTTATGGATAAGTGATTTTCCATTGTATATATGTAGCACAACTTCTTTATCCATTCATCTGTTGATGGACATCTAGGTTGCTTCTATGTCCTAGCTATTATAAATAGTGCTGCTATGAACTTTGGGGTACATGAGCCTTTTTGAATTATGGTTTTCTCAGGGCATATGCCCAGTATTGGGATTGCTGCGCCATATGGTAGCTTTCAAGAGTGTTCTGGCTCTTTTTCTCTAAGAGTTTTATAGTATGCGGCCTTACATTTAGGTCTTTAATCCATTTTGAGTCTATTTTTTTGTATGGTGTTAAGAACTGTTCTGGTTTCATTCTTTTATGTGTAGCTGTCCAGTTTTCCCAGCACCACTTACTGAAGAGGCTGTCTTTGCTCTTGTATATTCTTGCCTCCTTTCTCAAAGATTAGGTACTCATAGGTGTGTGGGTTTGTCTCTAGGCTTTCTATCTGGTTCCATTGGTCTATATTTCTGTTTTTCTGCCAGTATACAGCATTGAGTACTGTAACTTTGTAGTATAGTGGCAAAGTCTTGGCAAATTCAAGAAAATTGAAATCTTATCAAGCAACTTTTCTGACCACAATGCTCTAAGAGTAGATATCAACTATAGGAAAAAAAAAAAGCCGTAAAAAACACAAACACATGGAGGCTAAACAATGCTCTTCTAAATAACCAACAGGTCACTGAAGACATCAAAAAGGAAATTTAAAAATACCTAGAAACAAATGACAATGAAAAACACCACGACCCAAAACCTATGGGATGCAGCAAAAGCAGTTCTAAGAGGGAAGCTTATAGCAATACAAGTACACCTCAAGAAAATAGAAAAACATCTAATAAACAATTTAACCTTATAGCAACTAGAAAACGAACAACCCCCCCCCCAAAGTTAGTAGAAGAAAATAAATCATAAAGATCTCATATATTATTGATATGTAAGTAAATTGACACAACCTTTATGAAAAATGATTTGATAGTGTCTCAAAAAGTTAAACATATTTAACCACATGATCTAGCAATTCTGCTGCTACTTAGCTACTCAAAATAAATGAAAACATGTCTACACAAAAACTTGCACATGACTATTTATAGCAGCATTACTTATAATATCCAGAAAATGGAAAGAAGCCAGATGTCCATCAGCTGATGAATGAATAAACAAAATGTGGTATATCCTTGCAATGAAATATTATTTACTCATAAAAGGAATAAATTACTGATGAAAAAATATACTAAAATTAGATTATGGTGATGATTACACAACTCTGTAAATATATAAAAAACATGGAGTTTTATACTTTAAATGGGTGGATTTTATGCCATATAAATTATATCTCATTACAGCTACTAAAAATGTTATCATATGGACTTCCCTGGTGGTCTAGTGGTTGGAAGTTCACCTGCCAGTGCAGGAGATGTGGGTTCAATCCCTGCTTCAGGAGTATTCCACATGCTGCTGGGCACCTGGGCCAATGTGCTGAAACTACTGGGCCAGTGTTCTAGAACCCATGCACAGCAACTACTGAGCCTGAATGCCACGACTACTGAAGATCACATGTTCTGGAGCCCATGTGCCACAATCAGAAGCCCAGGCACTGCAACTAGAGAAGCCCCCACTCATTGCAACGAGAGAAAGCACAAGTGCAGCAACAAAGACAATGCAACCAAAAAGAAATAAAAATTTTAAAATAACATCAAACAATACATGCTTTCTATAGTGACTTTATTCAATTATAAATTCATTGTTAATATATTTCTTGCTAACGTATTTCTACAATATTTAAATTTTGTCAATTATAGAAGTAATGAATGTTCATTGAAAAAAACAATATAGAAAGTCTAACATAGAATATAAAAGTGTTCACATAATCTTATTATTTCCTCAGAATTCTATTAACAGTAGTTACAATGATATATTTAATGGCTGCTTAGTAATCTGCTGTATGGCTCAATCATAATTTACTGAGCTAATTTCATATTATTTTCTATTTAGTATTAAATTAGAAACAATCTCTGATAAATCCCCTTACTATGAGTATCTTTGTGCATACACTATGATGCAATTTTCCAAATATCTTGTTAGAATAAATTCTTACAAGTGTATTTACTCATTAAAGTGAATGAATATATATTTTTTAGTTTTAATGTTATATACTGCTAAATTTTATCAAAAAATAAACACTTATTTGTACTCTTATCAATAGCATTTATGGAGTATCTAGTCTCCCTTATGTTTTCCCAACTCTGGATATTATTTTTTGTCAAAACACCTTTGCTAGTTTGGTAGCTGAAAATGGTATCTTATTTTAATCTAAAATTATTTTTGATTATTAATTAAGTTGAACACATTTTCATGGACCTTTGGCTGTTTACATTCCTTTATTTAAAAAATTTTTTTTTCATTTATTTTTATTAGTTGGAGGCTAATTACCTTGCAACATTGCAGTGGGTTTTGTCATACATTGACATGAATCAGCCATGGAGTTACATGTTTTCCCCCTCCCGATCCCCCCTCCCACCTCCCTCTCCACCCGATTCCTCTGGGTCCTTTATTAATTGCTTGTTTTAAGTCCTTTGGTCATTTAAAAAGGGAAGTGTTATCTTTTTCTTCAAGACTATTTGCTTGCTTGCTTAGTAACTCAGTCATGTTCCATTCTTTGTGACCCCATAGACTTTAGCCGGCCAGGCTCTTCTGTCCATGGGGATTCTCCAGACAAGAATACTGGAGTTGGTGGCCATGACCTCCTCCAAGGGATCTTCCCAACTCAAGGATTGAATTCAGGTCTCCCACATTGCAGGCAGATTCTTTACCATCTGAGACATCAGGGAAACCCAAGAATACTGGAGCAGGTAGCCTAACCCTTCTCCAGGGGATCTTCCCTACAAGAATAGAACCGGGGTCTCCTGCACTGCAAGAGGATTCTTTACCAGCTGAGCTACCAGGGATATCCAGTAGAATGAATATATTCAGTGTAGTATTGTATATATTCAGTGCAAAGTGTGTTAGTCACTCAGTAGTGTCCAACTCTTTGCAACTCCATAGTCTGTAGCCTGCCAGGCTCTTCTGTCTATGGAATTCTCCAGGCAAGAATATTGCAGTAGGTAGCCACTTATCCAGGGGATCTTCCTGACCCAGGGATTGAATCCGGGTCTCCTGCATTCTTTATTGTTTAAGCCACCAGGGAAGCCCCAGTAGAATAACATGTAGCCAATAAAAAGATTTTATGAAAATTTTATAATGGTTTCAATTTTAAATTAAAAAATAGAATACTGTATCTTTTCTATTTTAAGTTTATTTTAACTTTGTATTTTCCCTGTTTTCTACAATGAGCATATATTACTTTTATAATTAAGGGATTTTTTTTTTTTTTGCTGCACTACTTGGCTCATGGGATTGAACCTGGGCCCTCGGTACTGAGAGCACACAGAACTAACCACTTAACTGCCTGGGAATTCCTGAAATTCCTTTTTCTTTCAAAGCACAGAGCTAGTTAGTTTGTGGCAGAACCAGGACTAGAGTCTTCGTGCTCTCCTGCACTCTGTATTACACATCTACAAAGGTGTGATCAGAGGTAGAACAACCAAGGTGCGTTCAGGTATTAAGAAGATTGTTGTAGCAGGATAATCTTATCCTTAAGAGATGCATGATGAAAAACCTAGGTTTCAAGTGTTATGGTATCTGCAACTTAAGAAATGTATGCCAAAGTATTTAGAGTGTCATGAAGTCTGAGGAGAGAGAAGGGAGGAGGGAGGGAGAAAGGGGAGGTGAGGGAGAGAGGGTGAGGTTCAAGGAATGGAGGAAATGTGATGAAATGTTAACTGGTGAAGCTAAGTGAAGGATATGTGGTTGCCTATTGTAGTATTCTTTCAACTTTTTGTGGGCTCAAAGTTTTTCAAAATAAAGAAGTTGGGAAAATTGTGGGGGAAAAAAAGAATGGGGTAATCACGTTACAAATGTTTCAGAGAAATGAATTGGGATGAACCCTATGGAACAGAAGACCGTTGGAAGTCTTTTAAAAAAAATGATTTTTAGATCTGGTTTCCTTGGTGTGTATGCCCAGAAGTGGGATTGCTGGGTCATATGGCAGTTCTATTTCCAGCTTTTTAAGAAATCTCCACACTGTTTTCCATAGTGGCTGTACTAATTTGCATTCCCACCAACAGTGTAAGAGGGTTCCCTTTTCTCCACACCCTCTCCAGCATTTATTGCTTGTAGANAGGGGGGACTGGGATGGGGAGTACATGTAAATCCATGGCTAATTCATATCAATGTATAACAAAAACTACTGTAATGATGTAAAGTAATTAGCCTCCAACTAATAAAAATTTTAAAAAAAATTAAAAAAAAGAGAAATGAAAGAAATAGTAAAGATTAATAAAAAAAAAGAAAAAAAAAGAAATAGAAAATGAATAGGTTAATAAGTGAAAGGCTA